AGATCACATTCCGACTATGTGACAAGTCATCAGTTAATAACTTTATTGCATCATTAACCCTTTGAGGGTTAAGAGGCCCTCTCCTAAACTCTTTCTCAGGGTCGAAAAGTTTTTGAAAAAATACAAATATTATTTTTCCTTGTGAAATGATAGAGAATCTTTTTCCGATCATAATGACACCAAAAGTATGAAATTTGATGGAAAACTTATGGAATTATGCTCTCACGAAGTTAGCAGTCTCAAAGTGGGTGATTTCGCCCACTTTGAGCCCTATTTTCAGCCAATTTCAATGTTGCAGTTGACTAAAATCATAGCTATTTCCCTAGAACTCTATTTGTTATATCGATTGAGTACAAGAATCTGCCCATTTACCGATTTCAGCTACCCAATAAAGTGGTCAGAAATTGGCAATTTGGGCAATTTCACACAAATTTCAAAAGATGCCAATTTCGAAATAGGGTCCAGAATAAACAAGACAGACATTCATGGCACTAAAATAACATTTTATCTATTCATTAGTCATGTCTCTAGGCCTCTCTTACATTACTTTTGCTTTCCATTTTGAATTTTTATTCTCACAGAAAATAGAAGGTTTTCTGTTATGTATACTACTATATCATTGTAAAAACGGTATAAATTATATCAGCGCACTTGTGAAAGAATATTAGACTCACCAGTTGATGTGTATTGGACGCGTGGCTTGATTTGTTTACTCCTGAACATCGGCAAACATCGATCATTTCCGCTACTTTGAGCTCAATTTCAAGGTACTTGTCATCGTGAAACCAATTAAAATCATCTCTAATTCTGTAATATATCTTCCATTCTATCAAATGAGACCAAGGAAACGAGAATACAACCATAAATGCCATGCAAAAATACACTAGAGAGTCACTGTTTTAAATAAAAAAGTCGAAGTTTTTTTTTCTCATTATGCACCGTGTGCTTCAGGATTTTTTTTATACTGCTCACACTGACCACACAACCCATTCTTTCATATGTAGCCCTGCCAGCTTTCTTCCACCAGCTTTGAAGGCTCTAGAATTTAGGCGTACAGGTACATGACCAACCCTGGCTGCAATGACGTACTTGTACGTGGCCAACCCTCAAAGAGTTAAGTAACATTGGCTGGCAGAGTGACCTAGCAATCAGATATTGATGAATGTGTTAATATTTTTTTACAAAAAAGCCCAAAACCTCTATAACAGGCATTGCCCAATAAAACCAAAGCAGATCACAACAGAGACTAAACAGCCCCTGGCTTGCAAACAACATTCTCATATCTATTGATAAAAAACATCTATATGAAAAATAGTACAGAATGGGTCTAATAACGAAGGATCTTATGAAACGTTACTTGTCAATACTTACTAATTTACTAATAAGGTCTAAAAAACTGTATTACAAAAACAGATTTTATAACATAAAAGGGAACTTGAAAAAGATCTGGAAAACCCTATCTGAAATTCTAGGATCTAAAAAGCTGTCTCAAAACAGAGTTATTAACTAAACAAGAAGAACCTCTCCTCCAGCCAAAAGACACTGCCAACAAACTTAATGTCTTTTTCTCAACTCTAGGAACAAAGCTGGAAAACAAAATTCCAAACTCAAACACTCAGCTAAAAGACTACCTCACTTATAACTACCCAAACACTATTCCTAGCCCCAACAAACCCTACTGAAATCTCACTCATCATCAAAACACTAAGGAACAAGACAGGAGACCTAAATAACTTACCACCACTCATGTATAAAAAAGCTTCTCATGTGTTGTCATGAATTATTGCAACTCTTTAATAAATCCATTGAATCTTCCACCTTCCCATCCACACAGCAAGGGTTACCCCGATTCTCAAAGGAGGTGATCCAACTGAACTGAACAACTATAGGCCAATATCAAACTTGCCCCTACTATCTAAAATCTTTGAAAAATTCAGTCACAAACAAGTCTACTCCTATTTAGTATCCCACAATATACTTAACCCCTGTCAGCATGAATTTAGACTGAAAAAAGTACTAACGATACAATTATACATATGTTTACACTAATCTGTTCGGCACTCAAAAAGATTAAATTCTCCTGGGGCTTTTCATAAACCTACGAAAAGCATTTGATACTGTTGACCATAACCTATTGCACCTAAAACTTGAGCATTATGGGGTCAGAGGACATTCTCTCGATTACTTAAAATCTTAGCAATAGGAACCAGTATGTATACACAAATGGCATTAATTCCACTTACAACCTGTTCTTGTTGGGGTCCCACAGGGTAGTGTCCTTAGCCCACTTCTCTTTCTCATTTACATCAATGACCTCCAAAATGCACCTAAACTCCTTAAACCCATTTTATTTGCAGATAACACTGCTTATATCTTCTCTCACCCAAACCCAACTATTCTAACAGACACTGTAAATGATGAACTACTAAAAATATCTATTTGGATGACTACCAACAAACTTACTCTCAACATAGACAAAACATACTTCATACAGTTAGGAAACAGCTTCAAATGTACAGCTGAACATATTAATAAATGGTTCACCTATTTCAAGACACACACAGGGCATATTTCTAGGTCTCCCCTCAACTGCAATCTCAAATTTCAGGCCCACATACAGAAAATATCTAAGAAAGTCTAAGAATAGTAGGCAAACCTTTCAAAGATACGGTACTATGTACCCCAAACAGCTCTTCTTGCTCTTTACCACTCTCATTTACCCTTACCTCACCTATGGTATTTGTGCATGGGGCTCAACCACAGCAAATCACCTTAAACCTTTAATAACCCAACAAAAAGCTGCTGTGTGATTGATTACCAACTCCTGCACTAGGCAGCACACTCCACCACTTTTTAAGAGCCTTAACTTGTTTAATATGCAAAACTTCCACACTTATTATTGTTCCTACTACATATACAGAACATTATACTCCAACATTACCCCTCCTCCCGGACTCCTCCTTGATAACTACAACAGAATGTACAGACACAACACAAGGCACAAATCACTCTTCGATGTCCCTTGTATCCATCTATCCCTCTGCAAAAATGCTACGCACATAAAGCACGAATTATACAATTATTCAGATCCTCGAATTACTATATACAGGAACTAAAAACAATGAATATCCTGTGGGGCTCTTCATAGACTTACGGAAAGCATTTGATACAGTAGACCACAATATCTTGCACCTAAAACTAGAGTATTACGGGGTCAGAGGACACTCTCAATTACCTAAAATTATATCTTAGTGATAGACACCAATATGTATACACAAATGGCGTGACCTCCAATACTTAGTCTGTGGTTATTGGAGTGCCACAGCGAAGTATCCTAGGTCCTCTACCCTTTCAATGACCTCCCAAATGCATCATGACTCCTTAAACCAGTTCTATTCACAGATGACACCACTTATGTCTTCTTCCACATAAACCCGGCTATGCTTAGTAACGCTGTAAACAGCGAGCTACATAAAATATCAAACTGGATGATGACCAGCAAACTTACTCTCATTATAGACAAAACCTACTTTGTGCTTTTTGGAAACAGAGCATTAAATATCTAGCTGCTAAACATATTGATAAATGGTTCACCCATTACAAGACACACTAAGGGCAAATTTCTAGGTCTCCACTTTGACTGTAATCTTAAATTTCAGACCCACATCCAACATATAACTAAGAAAGTTTCCAAAAAAGTAGGTATCCTTTCCATGATATGATACTATGTATCCCAAAGGGTGCACCTTACTTTATATCACTCTGTAATATACCCTTACCTAACTTATTGTATTTGTGTTTGGGGATCTACCACGGCCATTCACCCTAAACCTTTAATAACCCAACATAAAGTGGCAGTGTGGATGATCACAAACTCCAGAACCTGACAACATACCCCACTGCTCTTCAAAAGCTTGAACTTACCTAATATACAAAATATACACTTATTATGATGCCTACTATATATACAGAACATTAAACTCCAATACCATCTCTCCACTCAAACTCCTAGACAGCTTCAACAGGACACATCCATAACACAAGGTACAAAACACTTCTTGACATCCCTCACTATGCAAAAATGCAGTGCACATAAAGGGCCCGAAGATCTGGAACTCCTTGCCTGAAACAGCAAGAGGTCCCTTGCCCACAAATCAGTTTAGGATCATACGCAACAATCATCTCATATCTCAATAATAATCATATCCACACTATGCTAAACTCTAACCAAATTTATAGCAAACTCTCCCAAATATTTTATTTTCCCTTAACTATCAAGCCATTATTACAAACTTAAAAATGTATGTTTGTATCATTAATTGTACTACCTCATATTAATAATAGAGTAAAATATTGCATGTGATATTCTACCATTCTTCACCTGTCTACACTAAAGTAGTCTGTAAGTATTAGGTTGAGTCTGCCCGAAATGCCTTGGCATGATAATGGCTTTCTTTGTACCAATCAAATTATGAAAAGTAAACACACATTGTAACCTTAGCAAAGAAATAAAATTTTATTTCAGTATTTATTTATTTATTCAGTTTATAAAGGGCCCGAAGATCTGGAATTCATTACCAGAACACACTAAAGGGCCCCTGCCTGCAAATCAATTTAAGGCCCTACTTAGAAATCACTTATCACTCAAAATTAACCAATTACAGGTTGGCCATCACTAATCTGGCATCGTCTAGACCTGTAGGGTGCCGGATTAGTGATTTTTCTGGATTACAGAGTGGTTAGGTTAGAATACACTTAGCCCAATGGCAGTATTTATGCATCGGCAATATCACACACTTTACGCCCTAATTTTGTGGAATTCCATAGCCATTTTGCTAGTATTCCTCGTATTCTGTTGAATAAGTACAAGAAACTGCCCATTCACCTATTTCAACTACCCAATAAAATGGTCAGAAATCTGTAATTTAGCCAATTGCACACAAATTTCAAAAGATGCCAAATTCAAAATAAGGTCCAAAATAAACAATGCAGACATTCCAGACATTTCTCTGTTTATTAGTCACATCTCCAGGCTCCTCTTATATTATGACTGCTTTCCATTTTGAATTTTTATTCACACAAAAAATAGAAGATTTACTGTTATGCAGACTACTGCATTATTGTAATTACATGGACCCTTGACCAACGATGGCATCGACTAACGATAAAATCAGGCAACGATGCGATTTTGCGTAAAAATATTGGCTCGACCGACGATGAAAAACTCAGGTAACGACATTCATCCCGAACGCGTCTGCCCCTCCATCCAGCCTGAGTGACTCAGCTGCCCTGCCTTCAGCTAGTGTGCCATTGTTTATAAGCCAGGACGGACGGTTTCACGCATACATACGATATATTTTGTATCATTCCATTGTTTTTAGTGCTTGTAACTGCTACATAAGCCACCATGGCCCCAAAGAAAGCTTCTAGTGCCAACTCTGTGGTAAAAAATGTGAGAAATACTATCGAAATACTATCGTACCACGGTCATCACGGGCTTGGCGTCCCTAGTTTTGAAGGTTTTCATTATCCATCCCATCATTTTCTTAGGTGATGAGGTAGATACATTGTTGTGGTATTTGAAGGCAAGATCCTTTGACATTATCACTCCCAGGTCCTTCACATTTCTTTTTTTCTCTATCGTATGGTTAGAATTTGTTGTACACCCTGATACATTATTAATTTTCTCAAGTTTTCCATATCTGATTAGCTGAAATTTTTCGTTGAACTTCATATTGTTTTGAGTGGCCCATTTGAAGATTTGGTTTATGTCCACTTGGAGTCTTGTGGTGTCGTCGATGGAAGTCACCGCTATGGCAATCCGGATGTCATCCACAAAGGAAGACATGGAGATATGGTTTACATATCTCTCAATGTCTGAAATGAGGAAAAGGAATAGAATGGGAGCGAGTACTGTGCCTTGTGGAACAGAGCTTTTTCAATGTGGCTACCTGGTACTGTACTCTGTTTACTATTACTCTTTGTGTTCTACTTGTCAGGAAGTTATAGATCCATTTACCAACTTTTCCTGTTATTCCTTTATCAAGCATTTTGTGTGCAATTATGCCATGGTCACACTTGTTGAAAGCTTTTGCAAAGTCTGTATATACATCTGCATTTTGTTTATGCTCAACAGCATCCAGGACCATGTCATAGTGGTCCAATAGCTGGGACAGGCAGGAGCAACCTGCTCTAAACCTGTGTTGCCCTGGGTATCTAGGTGGTTGGCGATCTTGCTTCTTAGAGCCCTCTCAAAGATTTTTATATGGGATGTTAGTGCTATTGGTCTGAAGTTCTTTGCAATTGCTATACTGCCACCTCTGTGGAGTGGGGCTGTGTTGTTTTTAGTGTGTGTGGGATGACCCCTGTGTCCATGCTCCCTCTCCATAGAATGCTGAAGGTACGCGATAGGAGCTTCTTGCAATTCTTGATGAACACGGAGTTCCACGAGTCTGGGCCTGGGACAGAGTGCATGGGCATGTCATTTATTGCCTTTTCAAAGTCTTGTAGAGTTAAGATAATATCCAAGATTTTTTGAGATGACCAAATTTTGGTCATCTCAAAGTCTTGGTTTTTGATTATAATAATAATATATCTGAAATATGTAGGGAGTCACTGGTCAGAGAAATAGCAAGCATCGAACTTAAGCTAAAGGAATCTTATAGGAGTCAGGAATCGCGGGAAGAACTAAAAGCCATGAATGAAATCGAAAGAAACCCAAAGTATTTCTTCTATACCAAATCAAAGTTGAGAACAACGTCCAGTATTGGGCCCCTACTTAAACAAGATGGGTCCTACACAAATGACAGCAAGGAAATGAGTGAGCTACTCAAGTCCCAATATGACTCAGTTTTTAGCAAGCCGCTAACCAGACTGAGAGTCGAAGATCAAAATTAATTTTTTATGAGAGCGCCACAGAATTTGGTTAACACAAGCCTATCTGATGTTATCCTGACGCCAAATGACTTCGAACAGGCGATAAATGACATGCCCATGCACTCTGCCCCAGGGCCAGACTCATGGAACTCCGTGTTCATCAAGAACTGCGACCCCTATCGCGAGCTTTTACCATCCTATGGAGAGGGAGCATGGACACGGGGGTCGTCCCACAGTTACTAAAAACAACAGACATAGCCCCACTCCACAAAGGGGGCAGTAAAGCAATAGCAAAGAACTACAGACCAATAGCACTAACATCCCATATCATAAAAATCTTTGAAAGGGTCCTAAGAAGCAAGATCACCACCCATCTAGAAACCCATCAGTTACACAACCCAGGGCAACATGGGTTTAGAACAGGTCGCTCCTGTCTGTCTCAACTATTGGATCACTATGACAAGGTCCTAGATGCACTAGAAGACAAAAAGAATGCAGATGTAATATATACAGACTTTGCAAAAGCCTTCAACAAGTGTGGCCATGGCATAATAGCGCACAAAATGCGTGCTAAAGGAATAACAGGAAAAGTTGGTCGATGGATCTATAATTTCCTCACTAACAGAACACAGAGAGTAGTAGTCAACAGAGTAAAGTTCGAGGCAGCTACGGTGAAAAGCTCTGTTCCACAAGGCACAGTACTCGCTCCCATCTTGTTCCTCATCCTCATGTCTGACATAGACAAGGATGTCAGCCACAGCACCGTGTCTTCCTTTGCAGATGACACCCGAATCTGCATGACAGTGTCTTCCATTGCAGACACTGCAAGACTCCAGGCGGACATCAACCAAATCTTTCAGTGGGCTGCAGAAAACAATATGAAGTTCAACGATGAGAAATTTCAATTACTCAGATATGGTAAACACGAGGAAATTAAATCTTCATCAGAGTACAAAACAAATTCTGGCCACAAAATAGAGTGAAACACCAACGTCAAAGACCTGGGAGTGATCATGTCGGAGGATCTCACCTTCAAGGACCATAGCATTGTATCAATCGCATCTGCTAGAAAAATGACAGGGTGGATAATGAGAACCTTCAAAACTAGGGAGGCCAAGCCCATGATGACACTCTTCAGGTCACTTGTTCTATCTAGGCTGGAATATTGCTACACACTAACAGCACCTTTCAAGGCAGGTGAAATTGCTGACCTAGAAAATGTACAGAGAACCTTCACAGCGCGCATAACAGAGATAAAACACCTCAATTACTGGGAGCGCTTGAGGTTCCTGAACCTGTATTCCCTGGAACACAGGCGGGAGAGATACATGATTATATACACCTGAAAAATCCTGGAGGGACTAGTACCGAACTTGCACACGAAAATCACTGCGAAAGCAAAAGACTTGGCAGACGATGCAACATCCCCCCAATGAAAAGCAGGGGTGTCACTAGCACGTTAAGAGACCATACAATAAGTGTCAGGGCCTGAGACTGTTCAACTGCCTCCCAGCACACATAATGGGGATTACCAACAGACCCCTGGCAGTCTTCAAGCTGGCACTGGACAAGCACCTAAAGTCGGTACCTGACCAGCCGGGCTGTGGCTCGTACGTTGGTGTGCGTGCAGCCAGCAGTAACAGCCTGGTTGATCAGGCCCTGATCCACCAGGAGGCCTGGTCACAGACCGGGCCGCGGGGGCGTTGACCCCCGGAACTCTCTCCAGGTAAAGTCTTGGTCACAATATTACACATAATCTTGGTCATAATATTTATGGGAGGATATTAATAATCTTCAGAATGTCCAGTTGATATACTGACTAACATATCAATCATAATAAACTAAATTAGAGGAATTAAAAAAAATATTGCAGAGTATATGACTGCATTTAAGATTTTTAAAAAATATTTAATGGCATTATTATTGATTTAGACATTTTATTAATGTCAAACGAAATACAATGAAACTTTTAGAAACAGAGAAAAAATTTTAGTGCTAAAAGCAATTTTTTTTTGTTTATTTGTATTGTAAAACTATGGAGTACATTGGAATAATTATTTCAGTGTTAATTATTTGGAATAAATTTCCAAAATAACGAATTTAAAGAAATTATATATACACGAAACTAACTTTGATGAATATTATCTTAATTCACAAAAAATTTCACTGTTTTACCTTATACTTCCCAGGAAGACACTTGTGCAACAGTTGGGTATCTGTTGTTGAAACGTTTCGCCTATACAGGAGGCTTCTTCAGTCGAATACAGAGGCAGTAGGTGTAGTAGTGAAATGAAGATGTAATCAGTCTATTAACCTTGGAGATATAGTATTTGAGGTGGTCAGTCCCTCAGCTCCATGGAGCTGAACTCTTCCCCAGGATGAAGGACTGACCACCTTAATGCTATTTCTCCAACGTTGATGGACTGATTATATCGTTTTCATATCACTTGACTGAAGAAACCTACTGTGTATTCGAAGTGTTTCAACAATAAAGATACGCAACTGTTGCATGTGTCTTAATCATCAACTTGTCCGTATTTTATATAATTTTTAGTACAATACTTTGTAGAAGAATCTGGATTTTCTTTGTATCTCAGACACTGTTGAGACCAAGCCAGAAGTCAGTAGTGCTGTCTGAAGTATCAGTAGCTAGCTCCTCACTAGGAGACACTAGTACACTAACCCCACCCAAGAGTGCTAGCACCACTCAAGAGGCTGCTAGCACCACTCAGGAGGCTGCTAGCATCACTCAAGAGGCTGCTAGCACCACTCAGGAGGCTGCTAGCATCACTCAAGAGGCTGCTAGCACCATTCAAGAGTCTGCTACCATCACTCAAGAGGCCACTAGCATTACTTCAGGGAAACACACCACCCTAGGAAACACTAGCAACATATCAGGGGACACTAGAACTGTCTCTGGGTAACTAGCACCAACCAGGGGACCAGACACCATCGAAGTTGTCAGGGCTGGCTTCAGGCACTTCAGGAAATATGTCTGCTGGAACGTATCTCTGCAGTTCCTCCAGGAGGTACTGAAGTAACTCCTCCACCACGTCCACGTGCACCGAGACCAAGTCAACTCGCTCCTCTGGGTCCTCTGATGAGACACGGGACGACAGTTATTAAGGTCAAGTATAGGAATATTCTTTGTAGCAAAAAATAATATATAAAAACAGTCAAAATATTTACATGGATTATCCCAAAAAAAAGCCAGAGTGGCTTATTTCCAATGGGGTCCTTGTAACATTATTATTTAAACAACTTCAGTAACGAGTGACTTCTCAATCCTTTACAAATTGAATAGGTAATGTTATTATTGTAGCCATTATTGTAGCCTGGTGGTTAACGCTCTCGCTTCACACGGTGAGGGCCTGGGTTCGATTCCCAGCCAGAGTAGAAACATTGGACGTGTTTCCACCTGTTGTCTATGTTCCCCATCAGTAAAATGGGTACCTGGGTGTTAGTCGACTGGTGTGGGTCGCATCCTGGGACACTGACCTAAGGAGGCCTGGTCACAGACCGGGCCGCGGGGGCGTTGACCCCCGGAACTCTCTCCAGATAAACTCCAGATATGCACAAGAAATTCTTCCATCAGGGTATATAGCAAATTTTAACCATATAATAGAGCGAAAAAATAATGTGAAGGACCTGGGAGTGATAATATCAGAGAATCTCACCTTCGAAGACCACAACAATGTATCTACCTCATCTGCTAGAAAAAAAAAATAGGATGGATAATGAGAACCTTCAAAACTAGGGACGCCAAGCCAATTCTCTTCAAATCGCTTGTTCTATCTAGGCTGAAATGCTGCTGCACACTAACTGCCCCCTTCAAGGCAGGCGAAATTGCAGACCTGGAGAGTGTACGAAGAACTTTCACGGCACACATAAGTACGATAAAGCACCTAAATTACTGGGAACGGTTGAAGTCCCTTGATTTGTATTCCCTGGAACTCAGGTGAAAAAGATACATGGAAAATCCTAGAGGGATTAGTACCAAACCTGCACACGAAAATCACTCCCTATGAAAGCAAAAGACTCGGCAGGAAATGCAACATTCCCTCAATGAGAAGCAGGGAGGGGGGGGGCAAGAGTATATTGAGAGATAACACAATAAGTGTCAGGGGCCCAAGACTGTTCAACTGCTTCCCAGCATACATAACGGGGATTACCAATAGACCCCTGGCTGTCTTCAAGAAGGCACTGGACAGGCACATAAAGTCAGTACCTGCGGCCAGCAGTAACAGCCTAGTTAATCAGACCCTGATCCACCACGAGGCTTGGTCTCAGACCGAGCTGCGGGGGCATTGACCCCCGAAACCCTCTCCAGGTAAATTCCAGGTAAACCTAACTGTTGCACCAAAATCTCCAGCTAGCGTGGCAGTAACGAACTCTAGCTCAAGTCCCCTCAAAGCCGTTAACATGACTCACGAAATCGTAATGACACGATTGCAAACCATACCACGAACGGGGATAGAACCCACGATCAGAGAGTCTCCGCCCGTGGTATGGTTTGTTTGCAATCGTGTCATTATGATTTCGTGAGTCATGTTGACGGCAGTGAAGGGACTTGAGCTAGAGTTCGTCACGGCCACGCTAGCTGGAGATTCGTCTGTAAAAACTTGCAGTTGTGGTCACAGTGGTGCCTGTGCTAACCTTCCTATGGTGTAGAAATATACCTAGTTAGACGAATGTTATTGTGGCTAGCTGGTCTAGTGGCTAACGCGACGGTCTGGAGTTTTGTGACTCTCTGATCGCGGTTCAAATCCCGCCCGTGGAATGGTTTGTTTGCAATCGTGTCATTACGATTTTGAGATTAAGACACATGTTGCAGTGTCTGACAAGTTGTGTACGAATGGTATATAATACCGACAAGTCTTAATCTCAACTTGTCGGTATTATATACCATTCGTACATTACGATTTTGTAAGTCGAGTTATGTGTTACTTATGTCATGTTTAAATTTTATGTTGTATTGTTCTGTTGTCAATAGCACTATATTATGTCCGTATAAAGTATTTGGTAAAGCTGTATACAGCTTGAATGTCATAATTGCAGCTGTATTATTGTTGTTATCGATTGGAATTGCATGTTTCTATGTGTAGAAGCTTACATGTGTTATGTTTTTGAGACTAAGTTTATACTTTTGGCATTGCAGTTATTTTGTATGTCTTTGTGACTTTTTCCTATATCATCATTGTTGTGAAATACCTATTATGTTACTAAAGAGTTTAGGACAGTTACATAAATTAATGTTTGATCATTGCTGTGATCATTGTGTGAATGATGTGGGTGTATTTACAGATAGGGTTTTGTGTATATGCCAGCTATTTTATCAATTTGTATAATGTGTCAGTGAATGGTATGTATGTATTTTGCGTGGTTACGCATTTTTTTTTTTTTTTTGCATGAGGTTTTCAAATTTTTTCTGCACTTGAGATGTGAATATTCGTAATCTTGTTCATATTCTGTATTGTGGTATTATTTACTTTTTATACCTCCTTGTAATTTATATTGTTTTTAAATAAAATATATAAAAAACTATTCTAGTGAAGACACTAGAGCACTCCAGGAAGATTTAAATAGACTGATGCACTGGTCGGAGAGGTGGCAGATGCAGTTTAATATAGACAAATGCAAAGTTCTAAATGTTGGACAGGACAATAACCATGCCACATATAAACTAAATAATGTAGATCTTAATATTACGGATTGCGAAAAAGATTTAGGAGTTCTGGTTAGCAGTAATCTGAAACCAAGACAACAGTGCATAAGTGTTCGCAATAAAGCTAATAGAATTCTTGGCTTCATATCTAGAAGTATAAATAATAGAAGTCCTCAGGTTGTTCTTCAACTCTATACATCCTTGGTTAGGCCTCATTTAGATTATACTGCTCAGTTCTGGTCACCGTATTACAGAATGGATATAAATGTTCTGGAAAACGTACAAAGGAGGATGACAAAGTTGATCCCATGTATCAGAAATCTTCCCTATGTGGATAGACTGAGGGTCCTGAATCTGCACTCTCTAGAAAGACGTAGAATTAGGGGGGATATGATCGAGGTGTATAAATGGAAAACAAGAATAAATAAAGGGGATGTAAATAGCGTGCTAAAAATTTCCAGCCAAGACAGGACTCGCAGCAATGGTTTCAAGTTGGAAAAATTCAGATTCAGGAAGGATATAGGAAAGTACTGGTTTGGCAATAAAGTTGTGGATGAGTGAAATAAACTCCTGAGTACAGTTATTGAGGCTAAAACGTTGTGTAGTTCTAAAAATAGGTTAGATAAATACATGAGTGGGTGTGGGTGGGTGTGAGTTGGGCCTGACTAGCTTGTGCTGCTGGGTCTGGTGCCGTGCTCCTTCCGTGAGTGGAGGTGACCAGACTGGGTGGGTCATTGGGCTAATCTGGGGGGGGCATGGACCTGCTCTGCATGGGTCAGTAGGCCTGTTGCAGTGTTCCTTCTTTCTTATGTTCTTATGAGACCCTGGGGAGAGTGGGTTGATAAATTTGGTTTGGGATGCACCAGCTAATAATTGTCCATATGATATGCTAGACAAATCAGCACATTAATGTACAAATGAAGTGTTAAAGGCTAAATTAACATGTAGCTAAATGGTTCAGAGAACCGACACGTTGATAAATTAGACACATGTGCAACTCTTGGGTATCTTTATTGAGGAAACGTTTCGCCACACAGTGGCTTCATCAGTCCATACAAAGGAGAATCTTGAAGAACAGGAGGAGAATGAGGTAATCAGTCCCTCATCCTTGAGTCGATGTGGTCAGTCCATCAATCTTGAATAGAATACGGCATATGAGCGGAGAAGCAGCTTATAAACCGTATGGCAGGAGAGGTGCAGCAGTCGTATGTGGTGTCACATTTGTTCACTGTGGAAGTAGGTCGTGCCCAAGGTCGTGCCCAAGGGTTAGGCAAGCGAAGAATTCCCAAGTATTAAGATCCCAAGAAGTTGCAGTGTCTGACAGGATTGTAGATCAATGGTTCACAGAACCGACACCACCTACGACTGCTGCACCTCTCCTGCCTACGGTTTATAAGCTCCTTCTCCACACATATGCCGTATTCTATTCAAGATGATGGACTGACCACATCGACTCAAGGTTGAGGGACTGATTACCTCATTCTCCTCCTGTTCTTCAAGATTCTCCTTTGTATGGACTGATGAAGCCACTGTGTGGCGAAACGTTTCCTCAATAAAAATACCCAAGAGTTGC